AAAAATTTGAAGATAAGATAAACCAATATGATAAGAAGTTAGAGGCTAAAAAGAAGGTAAGGTAAGAAGAGTTACAGATTTAAAAAAACAACAACAAAAAAAGCAACAAGAAAAAAAACAGTTTAAAATGATGGATGGATGAGAGGAGAGATTAAAGAAACTCTCAGCTCCAGAGAGAAATGGGTTCAAATAAGAAGTCAAAAAGGTAGTGTTTAAACCTGATACTAAACATATTTACACTGTATTACATATTAAACATACACTATACTAAGTAATAATAATGAATTTTAATTTCAATGGTGCCTTTAAAGAAACAAAACACTAAATTTTTACAGGAAATTAATAACTCATAGCTAAAAAAAAACTGTTAAATTATTACAGGAAAAAGTAAGTAGGGCATAAAAGGTCAAATTAAAAGTTTAAAAGAGAAAAAACTTGTAAAATGGAGGAATTAACCTAAAAAATAAACAAATTTAAATAGAGAAAATTAAGAATGATGATAAAAGCAAATCTACTGTAAGAAAATTAGATGAGAAAAGTATGTGACGAGAGGGGAAAGGTGACTTAAAGTGACTGAAGATGAAGTGGGGCGACTGACGAGACGACATTCCTTTCCTGAAAAGGCTTCTTCTTTTATATGGTAAAGATGAAGAACTTTATTATTTTATTTTTTATTTTATTATTATTCATTTGAAACATTGAAACTCTTCCTTAAACTAGCCATTGTTTTATTTACTCCTTGCCCTTTTAAATATGGACTCCCTGATCGGAGCCGCTCCTTGTGGAATTCAGACCTGGAGGAGATGCCCCCCCTCCCATCAGCCCGCCGGAGAAAGACAGCCTGCTACAACCAAATCCAGATCAGTCTCCCTAACCCTGGACCTGTTTAATTATTTAACATTTCTTTAATAAACCTTTTGAACTTTTCTCCTGCCTCCGAGTGTTCTGCATGTGGGCTAGGTTCTTTACCCATCATGACATCACTATGATTTGACAAAAAAGTCTTGACAATGACAAAAATAATTAGAAATTAGTATAACAGTAATAAAAATTAATAAAAAAAATAACTTGACCCTCTTTTGTAAATCACGCTACAAAAAATGTTCCTTTATAGATCATAATACTCATTATCAAAGAGCAAACCTTAAAATGATTGAATAATAACAATATATTATATGAATATATAACATTTGTAAAACATTCTTATATAGGCTATATTAATATAAAACTTTGTTGTCATCATATTAATATTTAATTGAAAAATATATAACTTTGTATATATGTCATCCAGTTTGAGTTCAGTTTACATTGTTTACAATTTGAATGAATATGTGTAATCTAACCGAAAGGTAATTTTAGAATTTGTTTTGGTCTTTTTAGTGGTTATGACATGTAAGAGATTATTGTAATATTATCTCTGACTCTTCTTTTATATGATTAAAATAAGATCTAAGGCATCTACTATTCATTCACAGAGCAGCTGTCTGAACTGTGGTCTGATCCAAGATGGCAGTATCTCTAGGCACGTTGGCCTCCCTGCCGACAGCGTCCAATGATGCGTCTAGGTATATAATGGCTATGAGACCCCGGTTTGGGATTGGGTCCCATCGTAAACAAGGCGGTCCTCTCGCTGCTAAGCGAGGAAATTTATGGCAGGCCAATTTGACATTTATTAGAAGCGCTGTCCTCTCCATTGTTCCATTTGTTGATCTCTAAAATAAGATACTTCCTAGTCAAAACTACAATCCTACTACCCAGAAATGTACATAATAGATATCTTTGATTACATTTTTGCCAGCAAAAATAAAATTTCAGGCTGCCAAAAATATAATTGTACTAGTAAGAATAAACGTTCAATCACTCAGAAATCTTTCCAAACTTTAAGTGGCCCTTT